CCTCCTCCTCCTCCTCTTTTCTCTCCTTGATGCTGTTTTCCATTTTGCTGTTCTCCTGGCTCAGAGAAGCAGCTTGGAATTTTCCCAGGGTCCCTGCGAGGACTCGGGGAGTAACCTTTGCCTGTACCAGCTGATAACGGCCACGGCTCTGCTTTCTCCGTAGGTGGCCATAAAGGTCATCGACAAGAAGAGAGCCAAAAAGGACACCTACGTCACCAAGAACCTGCGGCGCGAGGGCCAGATCCAGCAGATGATCCGCCACCCCAACATCACGCAGCTGCTGGATATCTTAGAGACGGAGAACAGCTACTACCTGGTCATGGAGCTGTGTCCTGGCGGCAACCTGATGCACAAGATTTACGAGAAGAAGCGGCTGGAGGAGTCCGAGGCACGCAGATACATCCGGCAGCTCATCTCTGCCGTGGAGCACCTGCACCGGGCTGGGGTGGTGCACAGGTGAGGGGCTGCCACGTGGTCACAGGTGGCCGAGCCTGTGCTGAGTGCATGGTTCCAGCAAGACTGGGTCGTTGCAGCCTGTGATACAATCCTTGCACACTGTTGCAGGGAATTGTTTTGTGGTGGGGCAGTGCCGGTGTGGCGGTTCATGGGGAGGGCCTGAAGCCAGGGTTCCTGGGCTGGAGTCCTGAGTGTGCCCTTTAACAGCTGTGTGACCTTGGTGACTTCTGTGATCCCCAGTCTATTGATCTGTAAAATGGGACTAATAACCCTTCTGCAGGTGTTCCTAAGAGTCCAAGAGCTTGGAACAGCGTTTGTGTAATAAGTTCCGTGCAACTATTAAGTGCTATTTTTCCTTCTTGCTGTTTTGTGAGACCTGTTGGTTGGGTGCCTAAGAGAAGTGTTGAGTGTTCAGGTGACGTGAGGCTGTTTTTCTGCTGGTGCTAGGGGTGGGGCTTTCATTCTCTCTGCTTGCCATACGGTAGCAGCTCAGTGGCTGTTTGCTCCAGTTGAACGGAATCACCATTGGAATTGTGATCTTGCCCTCAAAGCGGAGGCGTGTTCCCCAGAAGTCAAAGCAACTCTGAAAATAATTATGAAAGCCAACTTGTTTATAGCAGCCTGTTGTTCCCTCAGAGGGCGAATGGAGGGCTGGTGTTGTGGCGCAGTGGGCAGTGTCACAGACAGCCCTGTTTCAAGCCCCGGCTGCTCCACTTCCAATCCAGCCTCCTGCTAATGGCCTGGGGAAGCAGCAGAAGGTGGCCCAAGTGCTCGGGCCCCTGCACCCACAAGGGAGACCTGGATAGAGTTCCTGGTTCCTGGACCAGCCTGGCCTTTGCAGACACTGGGAGAGTGAACCAGTGGGTGCAAGTACTCCCTCTTGCTCTCTCCCTCTCTGTTACTCTGCCTTTCAAATAAGTAAGTAAATAAATATTTTTTTAAAAAGTGAGTGGAAATAACATTCTGAGTCATGTAGCCATGGGTCACAGGCTCCTACTTTTAGCGCTGTATGGAAGTAAACTTTTCTCCCACAAAAATTGGGCTTCAGCCATGAATGTATGGTTTTTCCTTCATGGAACTATAGTCAGTGATTACCCTGGGTTGAAAAAGTTAAAATTCATTTTTAATAGGTTCTCTTGTTAAAAAAAAAGATTGATTTACTTATTTGAAAGAGTTAAGAGAGAGAGAGGTAGAGACATCTTCCATCTGCTGGTTCCCTCCCCAAATGGCCTCATGGCCAGAGCTGGGCCAGTCCAAAGCCAGGAGCCGGGAGCTTCTTCCTGGTCTCCTATGTGGGTGCAGGGACCCAAGCACTTGGGCCATCTTCCTCTGCTTTTCTAGGCACATTTCCAGGGAGCTGGATGGGAAGTGGAGCAGCAGGGACTCAAACCGGCAACCTAATGGGTGCTGGCGCTGCAGGCGGTGGCTTTACCTGCTACGCCACAGTGCCGGCTCCATGTGTTCTCATTTAGAAAGGCAAGACCAAGGCAGAAACACATGGTATGTGTACATGCTGTCTATGTACAGGTATGTATACACACATGAAAGTTGAAATGTCCTGAGATACAGTTCACCTACTATGAAAGTCACCATTTAAAAGCGTACGATCCAGGGGTGACTTTTGTGTATTCACAGAGTTGTACAACCATCTGCACCCTGTGACTTGGCAGATTTTTACTGCCCAGTGGAGAAAGGCCCTGTCGGCACTAGCAATCACTCTCCCTCTCCCCCTCCCGCCTGCCTCCGGTGACTGCTTCCTGTCTTCCCTCTCTGTGGGTTTGCTCACTGTGGATGTTGTGTACTTGTGGAATCCTACCAGAAGTGCCGGGTCCTTGGCCGTGGGCTTCTTCCCCTCAGCACGGTGTTCTTCTGGTTCGTCCGTACTGTAGCATATGTCAGTGCCGACGGCCCGCCCCGGCTGATCTCCACTGACAGACCTTGGGGTTGATTGCATCCCTTGGCTCTCGTGTGTAAGTCTGCTATGTGCAAGCTTTTGTGTGAACGTGTGTTTTTACTTCTCTTGGGGACTTTCCACTCTCAGGAGTGGCATGTGACCTGCAGGGGAAACAGATTCCAAAGATTCGAGGCCCAGGGGTGCCTTTTTTTTGACTGAAAGCCGCTCACATTCTGATTGGTGGAGAAAGCGGCTCCAGCCCCTTCTTTGATGCAACGCTGCCTCCCCGCTATGGGGCTGGCACCGTGGACTGCTCCACCTGTCCTACAGGGTGGACCTGGGCTCAGGGCTTCCCTGGCGCCAGCCCCAGCCGGGCTCCACTGAGACCCTGCTTCACGTGTTGCCATGAGATAGCGCCTCGCTGGTACAAAGGGTTTAGATCAACAGGGAAGGGTCCGTTCAGAGATTCTAGGTGAGTTGCCCTGTTTGTGGCTCTGTCCCAGCCGTACCCTTGCGTAGCCTGCGCTGTCACAGCTCTGCCAGTATTAAGAAGATGCCGGCTATCAGGGGTGCCTGGCTCCATCTTTGTTAATTATGAAGCCAAGACAAAGGCAGAGACCTCAGGGGTGAATTGGCTGGGAGTTCCAGCTCCCACAGTGGGCTCCAGAACAGGGGAACTGCAGGGGGCCAGAGCTTTCCGTGGGACTTGTGTGTTCGCATCAGGGTTTTGTGCCGTCAGCCACTCAGCATCCCGAGGACAACAGAGGGAAACCGAGGGAGAGCTGCGGGTGGCATGCTGGTCTCTCCCTCAGGAAATTTTCAACAACCCTTTTAAAGCAATCTTCACAAAATCCAATCGCTCTCCATGCAATTACTGTCAGAATGTCAAAGGAATGAATTTAATAATGTTTTTATAGCAGAGACAGATGCTTTTTCTCTCGGATCCCCAGCTTTCTACGTTTTGCTCTCTTTCCTTAGAAATAGATTCATAATCCAGTCGTGGCGAGGGCTTGCATCCTTCATAGAGAAGATTGGAAATGCAGATAACTAGATTCAGGAGCATTTCTGTGCTTTTCTCTCTGAAAATCACCTGCACGCACCTGCTGCTGCACGCACATGGACATCGGAGGCTGAGAGGTTGAGCCGGTGACCTGTTGTTTGCTGAGCCATCCTCCACTGCTTTCCCAGGCGCATTAGCAGGGAGCTGGATTGGAAGCGGAGCAGCCCGGACTCCATCCAGCGCCCATAGGGGATGCAGGCATCATAGGCAGCTGCTGCTTGGCCCGCTGTGCCACAACGTTGATGCCAGGGCTGTACATCTTTGCAAGGGCAGAACGTGGTCAGCTTTTTCTGTGCTCCCTTTTGGGATTGCCTGAGAAATTCAACAGTTAGAATCCCAGGAGTTAGGGTCCCGTCCCTGCTCGTCCAGCAGGATTTCAGGCGTCTGCCTGGGATGCAGGGACTGTGGACTGCTCACAGGAATCCCGTGGGTTGAGATTCATTTAGAGTACCATACTGTGCAGATGAAACACAGCAGGGGGAGTACACCTAGGAAACCCCCCCACCCTGTGGGGGGGAGGGGGCTTTGGGACAGGAGAATGAGATCAAAGGAAGCAGCAACCACTGCCCCTGGAGGCCTGGGAGTCCCCGCTCAGGAGGAATTCGGTGGAGGGGAGGGACCCTTCTTTGTTCTCTGGCTCCTGACAAGAAGCAGGCACCACCTGCGGGCCTGTGGGAGTCAGAAGTAGAGAGGTATGGCTTCTGCTCACTGCTTGGCGCTATTTTGGGGTCCCATGGCCTCTGACGGCCAGCGCAGAACTAGAAGAGGTGCTGGCTGTGTCGTAGGCTTTGTGTTTAATTGGGTTTTTTAAAAGAAGTGTGTGATTGGGAATGTAGCCCAGTGGCTCCGTGGGTTGGAGGCACGGAGGTCAGCGGCGGTGACCCCAAAGGCACACACCTGTGGCTACACGTCGGCTCTTCCTCCAGCTTTCCTTCCTGCCTTTCCATGTCCACACCGTAGGAAGCAGGGATTACCCACTTCCCCTGGTTGTTGCGAGGGTTAGGTAAATCAATCCATGAAACGTGCTCAGACCCCAGATGCTGGGTAAGCATCAAGTTCATGTTCACCTGGTAATGACCGAGTCTGTGGGAGGATTGGAGTCCGGCTCGTTCATTTACTTCTGTGTCTAATGGACACGCCATCACTGTAGACACTCGTGCATTTCATCCAGGGGAAGTGGAAGTTCAGGGCCACGCGGGTGTCCCTGCCTGTGCTGCGCTTGCTCTCTTTGCCAGGCTCAATCCTTAGTCTCCAGATCTTAGCTCCAAGCTTGCCTTCTCCAGGGAGCCCTCTAGGCTGGGCCTTGTGGGGGTCCAAGACTCCCAGAGCACTCTCTATTTTGTTTTTTTTTTTGTTTGTTTGTTTTTATTTTTTTAATTTTTGACAGGCAGAGTGGACAGTGAGAGAGAGAGACAGAGAGAAAGGTCTTCCTTTGCACTGTGGCCGGCGCACCACGCTGATCCGATGGCAGGAGCCAGGTGCTTCTCCTGGTCTCCCATGTGGGTGCAGAGCCCAAGCACTTGGGCCATCCTCCACTGTATTCCCGGGCCACAGCAGAGAGCTGGCCTGGAAGAGGGGCAACCGGGACAGAATCCGGCGCCCCGACCGGGACTAGAACCTGGTGTGCCGGCGCCGCAAGACGGAGGATTAGCCTAGTGAGCCCTTCTCACAGGATCACTTACTTGCATTCTGCACAGGCCACAGCTCAGCCCAGTGCCTGGCCCAGGGGGCTGCCCGGTAGGACTTGGCTGAATGAATGAATTCAGCTATGTCAGAGTTTGCACCGGGATGGAAGCTTTCTAGTAGCCAGTCCCAAGGTACCTCTTGGACCACTTCAGGGGCGCTTCTTTGTGGACTTGGTGCCAGTTGGTTCATTTTTCAGGTCACAGTGCATCAAGCGCATCTTTTTATTGAGTACCCCTTTCATTTTTATAAGTTGAATTTGTTTCTGGGACATGATGAGAACTCAGTAAAGATCGCATTTCAATAAGGCACTCAGACGCGTGGTTAAGGATTTTTTTTTTCTTGCATCTTACCAACCTGCCC